TAAGTTGCTAGGGTGTTTAAAGGGAAAATCGTAGGTATATTTATTTTAAAATTGTACTTAGTTTAAATTATTTTGTTAAATTAATATTAATATTATTTATTATTATTGTTTTATAAACGATAATCATTTATATATTTATTTTTTCAATTTAAAGATACTTTTCTGTAAAATTTCCCTAACAAAGTTTTAAAATATATAAAAAAAATAATTTTCTACTTTTCATGAAAAATCCCTAAAAGGTAAAAAATTTTCAGTAAATTTTCCCTAAATAAATCTACAGAATTTTCAGTTTATAAACAAAATTACATTATCGATACTATCTAATCTCGTTTAATGATTTACATATTTTTTGCATTAAATATTTATTATTCATTTTTGAAAGAAATTTAAATAAAATAAATTAATTATTAAATATTAAATTTATTTTTAGAAAAATATCCCTAAAGAAATTAAAACGACGTTACTCCGATTGGTAGAGATGTTCCACGTGAACCGTGACGTAATAAATGGCTGGCGGACATTGCAGACATACAGTATTATAGATTGTTTTTTATGAGAAAAGTTGCTTTTAAATCCCATATGTAATTTATAATATCGAATTATTAAGAATATGGAACAAATGGAAGTTTGATAAGTCAGATGTATGTTTGGAGTGATTATTTACATCTACAAGACGATTTGAACTTACAGTTTTAAGCCTAAACGGAAGAGGTCGAAAAACTGATAAAATACACACACTTGTATAAAAAAAACACATAAAAACAAAATAGGGAAAAAAATGGACGAAAGGCAGAAAAGGAATATTTGGTTAACATGATAGGATTTACACGAAAAGTACTGTCTTTAGAGAAGATTTTAGTGATCATCTGAAGACCATTTGTGTTGGTTGACAGTTGTTGGAAATGACTGAGTACCAATGGTAAGTTTTAATATTATTTATTTAAAAATTCAAACACTATCAAGCATTGTATTGTATCTTAGCCCTTATAAAACACACTAAAGAACTTGAAAACACTACACAAACACAGTTAAGTAGGTGTATTATGTGTTGAAAACACCACACACACTTATGTAGGAGTGTTGTGTGTTGAACACATTTGAATATAATTTGTACATTAATAAGTCATATTTGATGAAAAGGATCTATTCAAATATAAATAGTTAAGAATTGAAGTTTTAGATGTATTATTTCCTCTTTTTTTTTCTGTCCTTGTCCTACTACATCATAAACTAGGCCAACTTATTTCTGTAGACATGAGAAAAATTGCAAATGATAAAACAATGATCTTGTTTAATATGTGTAATTCTTGATGATAAATTTTCTGTTTTGTTTGTTAGTATGGTGGTTGTTTGGCTAAACATCACAGTTAGAACAAGTAAAAAAAAAAAATAGATTAAAGGTTGCTTATCTGGATTGTTTAATTTATTTATGTGGATAGAATTTAAACGTATGTAAATGCTAAAGAATTCATTATAATGTAGTACTGTTATTCTAATTGAAATTATTATTGGTTTGGTTGTATATAAATATAATTATTAGTTTACATTTTGTAAAATATTAGGTTTAATAAACAATGTTATCATTTATTTTCAAGGATTTAGTGATTATGTTACAGTAGTAGAGACAATAAAATTGCAATATTTCAAGTATTTGATATTGAAAAAGTTTCAAGTTTTAATTCAGAAATTTTGAATGCTTATTAAATCTGATAAAAATTAAATTAATTATAGTACTTTTACTTTTTTTTTAATATCTGTTTTATCACGGGAAAATAGTTATTTATTTGATAAAGCTAGAAATCAAATTTTTTAAGTTCGACTTGACTAATACCATAGAATTAAATATTTTAGTTTGAAAGACATAAGTAATAACCAAAAACCAAAGCCTACATTAAATGTAAACTTCCATGAAATATTTTAGTAATAGTTTGTATTTAAAACATATTGATATTAATTAATTAATCAATAGTTGTAACCTTGTATTTAATTTCTTGATTGTTTTTTGTTTTATTACTATTACCAAAGTTAAATATTATTTTCATTCATTCAGTGTTGTTTTAAACAAAGATTATTCTTAAAACTGATGACCATCTTAAAGCAGATGTTTACTTGTGTTTGATTCCTACAATAATATACAATGTATAGAGTTTATAAACACAAAATTATATTTTATATTGATGTTATATTTGTCATGTCAAATCTGCAAAGATATATTCAGTTCCATTTGTCCATTCAGAATGGACAATAATGCATCTGAAATTACTCTTTTAGTATTGCTTGAAATTATTATAATTTCATTTCCTCTGTGAAAGTTTAGATGTAAATAGAAATATTCCAGGAAGCAATGAAGTGAAATTAACAAAATAAGGTTTAAATAAAATTTCTTGGAAATTATATGGCCTACTAAATCTATAATGTTCTAAAATTTGTGAAATTTTATTTAAAAAATAATAATATAACTAACAGCTGAAAATTTCCATGAGATATTGTTAAGTTGCTAGGGAGAATATACTAGACAGGAAGTTCTTTTTCCCTTCTTATTCAAATAAAAGAGCATTTCTCCTAGGATAGATTAGCCCTGAACATTCAGTTATTGATCCTTTATCATAAAGACTTTAAAGTTGCTGGTACATTACTTATATGACTTAATAGAGAAATTAGGTTTTATTAATAATACATTTAATGTTATCAAAGTTTATATGCATATTGTAAGATGTTATATTATTTTTGTAGAATTTTTATTTATTCAAATTATTATAGTTATTTTATATTGTCAAATCCATTTTACATACTTAAGCTTATATCTTAACATAATCAGATATTTCTGATGGTTGTTGTTTTAGTTGTTCAATTGTGAATGATCCTTACATTATTTTCAATCTTGATATAATTATTTTCCAACTTTTGAAAACAAAATTACTTCGGTGAGATTTGAATTAAAATTATTTTTAAAAAAGTTTATGACTAATTTTAAAACATAATTTGAAGAATTAAATAAACAACTAAACTCCATTTTAACAGAAATTTATATGCTATTCCATGAATATAATTTTAATTAGAATTAATTAAAAATAATCGTTGTAATGAGAAATTGCTTACATCTATGTTATATTTAATGATTATGTAACAAAGTAGTACAAAGATCAAAGAGAACATAATTACATACATTTTTCCTTAATGAAAATTGAATATCTTAATTATTTTGTGCCAATTATTATATTAAATAAAATCATTAGAAAATGATACGTGTCTAATGTTATTACACAAAGCAATTATTACTGTAAGAAATGAATTCATACATATATCATTTGTTAAAAAATATTATGTTATGGAATATTTTGTAATAGAAAAAGTTTTTATAGAAATATTTTTCAAAAAATATCAGCAATCTATCAATATGTGAATTTCAACATTACAAATTCAAGTTTCATAATAAAAAATTAATGCAAACTTTATAATTTATTATGGCATGATTTCATATGTCTTTATACATATATAGCATTTTTATTATCCTTTATTCCTTTATTTATATGCCATTCTAATTTTTTTTATATATTTACATAAAATATTGGCTATAATAATTTGCATTATATTTATTGTTTAAACTAAAACTAAAAATATAGCTTGTTTGATTTCTTGTTCCTGTTTAAATATAGACTTGATTCAAAATAAAAATATTAATTTCTGAAGCACAGTGATTTTTGCCTATTTAACTAAAAAGTCTTTATTATTAAGACTTTCAAATCATTACTTCATTTAAAAACATTAATGAAAAAATACAGAATTGTTTTGAATAATATTACTACTATTAAGAACATATAGTTATCAAAGTATGAAAGTTTAATTTGCAGCATTAACACTTATCATATTAATTGGTACATTTTCACTCAAGAAATAAATTACACGATTGCTTATTTAAACGTAAATGTTTTTAATAATCTCTGTCCTTACTAGAGAGTTTAATTACATAACTGTTACATTGTTACATTAAAATGGAAAGTGTACAAAATACATTATCTTCAAACTGCACAGAAATAATTAAAATTTGCAGTCTTATTTAAAAATTAATAATTGTTTAAGTAAATTAACAGAGATTGTAAATTTCAATAATTTGCACGGTTTAAAGGTAAAGTATTTTCTAAATTTTCCACTGTAATATAATATTCTAAGCTCTAACAATTATATATTGTAATTTGTTTGAAATTGTTTTTAATGGAATTAAAAATTGACCAAATAATTCAGACAAATAAACAAAAATTTTTTCTAGAATGGAAAATATATAATCATTTGAAATATAAACGTTGGCAACATATAGAAAATGCTACTTTATAACTCGTAAAATTAACAGAATGGAAGTGACAAATCCTTTATGCCGAAGTAAGCATATTTAACCAAAAAAAATTTTTTTTTGGTTTGTGTCAGAATGATATAAAGATATCAATTCAAAGGAAAGAAATCAAATCTCAGAAAGAAAAAAAGTAAAAAAAAAAAAAATGTATTTTAAGTGGGACTGATCCCAAGATGGTTGTAAATATTTTTGGGAATATATTGCAATAGCATAGATTAGCTACAATATTTAGTGCTTGATTGAAGAACTTTAGTTTGATTTGCACCTAGGATAAATTTGGATTTTTTTCCTTCCTGTTTGACTTCTATAAACATTTTTTGAGGGTGAAAATGTTATTTATGCACTAAAATTTTTATTTCATTTGTTATTATTTTAATAACTTCAGTTCATAATAATCATTTTAATAGAAATATATATATTTTGCTTTTAATGTACTCAATTGCTATATTTCCAGGAAACAGTCTTTAACATCGTTCTAGACTGCATATTTTAATATCAAAAAACACTTACTACAACACCTTTTCTTGCAGTCGACGTTTATTAGAAAACTTCAAACGTTTTCGGTCTTATTAAAAGACCTTTCTCAAGAAAATACGATTAAATAAAGAACAAACACTGTAAATCGAACACTTAATACAAATAACTCTTTTTTGAATCTTTCGAACTGGCTTATAATCCGTTGCGAATGACGTCAGTGTAAACTTAGCAACGGAAATATAACAATATTACATAAATATTTACATCTAAATACGTATAGTTGCCATCTCTCTACATTATTCAAAAGTACGTAATCTGAGATACATAGTGACTACTTCCTTCAATTATTAATATTATAATAAGCTAGAGGACCATGCTGCTGATATTTTAGTCGCTTCCCGGAAGTTGATTGCGAGGCCTTTATGCTTTGCCTTACAAATCTGCCAGGCTTCCGCGTAATGTCGGTGTTTCCTGTCTCGGACTATCTGCATTAGTCTTGCTTGGTCCCATTCAACTTGGACGTCTTGCTGGTCCGCTAGAACGTAGGTGGCTAGCGCAGTGCATGGTTGTTTTTTTCTTATATTTGCTTGGTGTTCTGCTAACCTGTCTTTGATACATCTTCCTGTTGCCCCTACATACATTAATTTACTTCGTCGCCTTGAGTCTGTGACTGGAATTTTATATACCCCGGGGAGTGTTCTTCTATCCACTAAATCCTTATCAGATCGTAATAGTTGGTACGTGGTGGGGGTTCTTTTATATACGATTCTTTTGTTCTGGGCCTNTAGTCCGAGACAGGAAACACCGACATTACGCGGAAGCCTGGCAGATTTGTAAGGCAAAGCATAAAGGCCTCGCAATCAACTTCCGGGAAGCGACTAAAATATCAGCAGCATGGTCCTCTAGCTTATTATAATATTAATAATTGAAGGAAGTAGTCACTATGTATCTCAGATTACGTACTTTTGAATAATGTAGAGAGATGGCAACTATACGTATTTAGATGTAAATATTTATGTAATATTGTTATATTTCCGTTGCTAAGTTTACACTGACGTCATTCGCAACGGATTATAAGCCAGTTCGAAAGATTC